CCCATACAAAAATGGCAAATCTAAATCGTTATCCGAATTTTCCCCGTTATTTTCATATTGTGGAATGTCATAGAGGCAAATTCCCAGAGCCTTTGATATTTGGTCAGATACCTATCCATCATAACATTCCTACATGATGGTTCATTTTTTTCCATTAAGTCTCTAGGTAACGCAATTTATTTTTTTTAACAACTCGTGTATTTTCACATTGTTCAATTGGTGCAAAACCAAGCTATCAGTCTGTTGTATGTACGATAATTATTATACATGTTCTGCTATACCTTCAATACTTGAATACGAGCTCAAATAGTTTCGTTCAAGTATCGCTCAAGACACTTCATTAGATAGAAATATTGTTGCAGATAAGAATTTACATCTACAAGTCCATCAGGTTCATCAACAAAATTCAACTTTTGAGTGTAGTTGTGATTGAATTTTTATCAGATCCTGCAGACGATTTGATGACACATGCAAATTAACCAACAATGAATGTAAAAAATTCAAATAAAAAATCTGAACCATCATGTCTGTTCTCCTGCAGGAATGTAATGATGGATATCTGACCAAAAACAATTAAGATTAAAAGTTTTTTCAGCTGATGCTACAGATTTGTATTGGGAATTATCAAGGAAACTTGACAAATATTCAATGTAGGATTAGGAATTGCAATAAGTAGTATACATGGTGGTGCATTTGTGGAACTAGAATTTCAGTCACTTCTTCAAATCACAAATTGATCTTGATTTTTGTACCACCCTTTATGTTATAATGAAGATTCTCCTGTATGATTAACAGCTTGACCTCTTCGTCTCCCAAATATTAGCTTCTGAATGTTTGGAATCATGAAAATATCGAATTTCATTTTGAGATATAATTTACTGAGTTTTGACCTGTATCTCAAAAAAACAGAGGGCTATGGAAATCTTGTGATATCGTGAGTTTCACAAAAAAGTTGCCATCGTTTGCGAAAACCGCAAATCTCTATTTCAAAAAATAATCGAGATTTCCCGTATGGACATCGAAAATGGGACAGCCATTACATATTCGAATTTTTGCTGCAACTGCACAACAGCCACGCAATTTTGATGTTTTTCGTGAAATTTCGTAATTTTCGAGAAAAAAACTGATTTTGATATTCTTCAGCCAAAGCTATCGTTTGTTACAGCTCTGTATCTACTAATGTATTGCCACACTTGAAAGCAGCATATTTCATGAATTATTTATGAGTTGATTCAAATCAATTTTCGAATTTTTCATCAAACGTATATTGTTGGCTTTTCTAAGCTCCATATTTTCTGTACGCGTGAATCGATTCTGAAAACTAAGCAAATATTGAAAATCGAATGCTCTTTTCGGTAAGGTATCATCACTTGACCCAAATGCTCATCAGAAAAAAAATCAGTGGGTTTTGCGTCAAAAGTTTTCCCCTTGACAAACAAACTTGACGTGTTTTCTTTTTTGTCGAAGTTCTTTCCCAGCCTGTAATGCCTTGCGGAACTTTCTCGATGCGCCACTCTGTAAAGTTATTTCTGCAACAAAGTGGCGAAATTTAATTCAAATCACTTTAATTTCAGTTGTTTGTCACATATGCGTTTTCCACCGAGTTTTCCACAGTAAAAGTCTATTATTTATTCTTATCGGATTTTACTTTTTGCATCCTTTCGGATTGAGAGGATAACTCCTAACTGATTTTGATGTGCATGTTATGAGTTGCTGCGAAACATTCTTCGAATTCACTTAGCGTAGATGAAAATTGCTACCATTAGGGGAGAGTGGGGTACATTATTGTACATTTCATGCTATTTGGGCAATAGTTCACAATTACAAAACCATTTGTGATCCAACCATCTAACTCAATACATGAGTGAGTCGTACTCCCTGCACTTTTCTTTTAGGAAAAACCTTCAAGTCAGCAAGTAACGAGAAAATCATTCATTATGAACCACATATCCATATTCACTGATAAATTGTGTGAAAAAAATTGCGACATTTGTGTAGTATTGGTTACGAATTTCGCCACTCCCTATATATAATAACAATTTTTCCTTACCTCCAAACGATTTCTTAGATCAAATCACCCATGGGTGCCAAATTTCGTGATTTCAGAATCAATGGTAACAAAGATAAATGAAAACTTTTAGGGACCAACCCTCCAAGGGCTGTAGTGCCATTAGGAAGCATTTTCGGACACATGTTGATAGGAACATTTTTTTAAATTTTTATCTGTGGATAGAACTTCCGGAGTACACGAACGTTATTATGAGACACCCTGTATATATTATTATGTCGGTGCCGTTAGCTTTAAATTATCATTACTTTGGGACGGAACTATATCGCTTGCTATTTCCACTATTTTGTGTTGAAACTGTTTTTTGTGATGGTCGTATCAAAGATCCACTTATAGGTGGGTGACTAGATATCATGATATCATTTTCTATCCTAGCCTGATCGAGGCTAGGGTAGAAAATAACGCACTTAATACTACAAAATATCTGCTCCAAGGAATATTAAGTTGACTGAAACGGGGCCGGTGGAAAGCAGTAGAAAAGATGCCTCGCGAAGTTATTAACGAGAGGGCAGAATAGGAACACCCTAGGGCACACCGGATTGCTTGTTCTTGTCTCAATTCAAGTTTTAATTCGCCTCCTATCAAAGTAGCTTGTAGTGTTTGGTGTTAATTTTTTGTTTAACAGTTGTCATACGATTCAACTATCCTTTATATTTTAATTGATTCAACTATTTAATCTGCTCACCAGTGTTAATTGGATATTGATGACAAAATGAGACGCAACTTTCACACTAGATTGTCAAAAAAGTAGCTTTGTAAGTGCACGATGAGCAGTGTTATTAACTCGAATAATTGAAGAAGAGAATCTTGATGAACTGTTTACAAAAGTTCAAATATAACCTTGTAGGTCTATTACAGATATTATTTTATATGTAGGAGAAATTAGCTTTTTGAATTTTAAATCTCCATAATTAGTCCAGTGGTCAGGTCAGAAAGTGTTACCTGGAAATAATTCATTGAGTTTTGATTTCTGGGGCGTTGAATAGTTCTAGGGGTTGTGAATAACACATCCTTTTTGCGACATCGAAATTCTCCAAGAAACTTAATCTATACAATAAGAAAGATAATTTCCTACAATTCATAATCAATGAATTTTTCTGGGTAACTTATAGTTTAGGCGTGGTGATGAGATGAAGTACATATATGCTTGTAGTGCTTACATAAAAATCAGTTATTTTCAACTTTCATGGACTGGAAACTAATCTCTAAACTAATATTGTGGAATATATCACTAAAAATCCTCTGATTATGAATTAATATCATTCGTTTCCACAACACATTGTGTTTGAATAAATAGCGCGTTTTCTTAGCGGCTTTCTCATGTAGGCCCATTTCACTAAATGGGTTCAATCGTCAAATAATGAAAGTTTTGATTGCCCAGGTTTGCTGAGTTGAACATCTGATATATCACAGTCATCATACAATTATAGTTGTATTTCATGATTACTATCACGTATAATTGTCTCATTGGTAGTCTGAGGAATGTGTTCATCTTCATCAGTTTCGCAACAGAGCTCTTGTGAATTTTCGCAGGAGACACCGGATACATCCGCACATGGTAGAATATTAATTTCAGACCTGCTTTTCTGCAACCACAAGCCAATTCACGCTCTTTTTTGCATTTGCACGTAATAAACTTCAACAATTATTTCGAGGCAGGATCCTTCAGTGTTGTAACTGGTGCAAAAATTCCATTATTGTTTTGTTCCCAACCCCATTCTGTTGGTTTCTTCTCCTTACCACGCCAGAGCTGAACCTGATGGAGTGTTTGCAACGAAAGTTGCCGTGCTGCTGCTTCAGTTGCTACTGAAGAGACAAGATTTGCTTTACTTTTTTTTATGAACCCACAAAACATTTGTATCGGTGTGCACATCAAAGCATTTTCCATCGAATCAGTCCCGGATAAGGATGTGAAAACGTTCCCATGCTCATGCTTCGGCTATGGCATCCTTATCTGTTTTCTCGTCTGTAAAAAACATGTTTCCGAAAATGAGTCCTAAGAGCGCTAGAGCCCTTTGAAGGGAGGTCCCTCGGTAGGTCCCTCGATGCGGTTTTCTTCAATTATCTTTGAATCCTAGAAGCAATCTTAGAAATAATTTCTTGTTCGAAAAACATGATTCAATAGGAGCTGCTGAACTCGTAACCGATGCTATAAAAATGCCCCAAAAACTTCAGCCTAGTTAATAAAATAGTGGAGAGTATTTTGCGTACGAGTTGCAAACAAATTTTTCTTCACAAAAGTCAGGAAATATTGTTCCAATATGAGTATTTAATTATTGTTAAACGTTTAGAAATGAATGATTTCTTGGAGTCAGGCTTGATTGGGGACCATATAGGTTAAAATAAAATACTCCCATATACAGGGTGCTCCAAAGTTGTGGTGACAAAAGCTAGAGGAGATTCGTCTCAACAAGATATGAAATAAAGTTCATGTGAATATGGGTCCGAAAATGCTTCTATTCGAACCAGAATGACGGGAACACAAAACCAATAGTAATTAGAGCATCAAATTATGCATTCTCTTATAAAAATATTCATATTTCAGTAATGAGTGTGACAATTCAAAAAAAAATTCAACAATACCGAGAAAACATATGATGCAATATGCTTTTGACGGGAGGCCTTTGAAATGTTCAGAAAACTGCACAGCTTTGATTCAAAGCTGCTTTGATCATCATCCTGTAGAATCTCATCCCAAAGAGATGCAATAATTCTGTCCATAAATTCCATAGTCAATGCAACGAGCATTCAGAAACTGAATAAGAATTGAAAATCGGTTGAGGCAATCGAAAGTTGAAGTTATGATGATTCAAATTTGATAGAAAAAATGTGATTTTACGTTTCATGTGTCAACAGTTTGGATGCTGTATAATACCCAAAACTCATTGAGTCTGAGTCCGATTTCTAATACATATTTGTTTCATTATTTCAGGATTTCGCTCGTCCTCCCCGACTCGACATGTTACTTGATATGCCACCAGCACTTAGAGAGACGCAATTGAAATACAGTTGGAATCAGGACGACCGTTCTCTCAACATTTTCGTAAAAGAAGATGACAAACTCACATTTCATAGGTAAGCATTAGAATCGCAAGATGTTCAAATGCGGGTAGTAAATTTTCTAGTTCTAGATTTCTTAAAGGGAGGGGTCACATGAGTGTTAAAATGACGGACGTCGTAACGTTCGTTGTATCGGACGTTGTAGAATAACACCAACGCAGTATGCGCCGGTCGCATATTCATATGTTACCGACACAAAATGACAATCGGATTTCTGATCGAAGCTGAACAAGTAATAATAAGTTACCGACAATATTTTTAGTTTATGTCTATAACTTAACGGATGGTAGGTAACGAGCCTGTCACTGTTTGCTGGCAGTGGGAGAGATGCAGTTTTTTCGTCATAGAAATGTTTTCAAGAGGGGCCGTGCCAAAGTGAGCTAAGCGTCCGTCTGCCACAACTAAAGGGCTCGAGTTGAGTCCTCGCGAGATTGAGTTTTTTTTTTAATTCAAGAAATCTCAAGAAGCTTTCCGTAAAATATACTTTATAGAAATAGAGTTCACTTAGGCCTTGTTAGGTTAGAGTGTTTGAAAATGCAGTCTCCTTTGTTTTCTATAATAGTAATTGCCGAAAAATATACTTTTTAGGAAGAAGGTTCATTTCGGCCGAGTTAGGTCTTGTGCAGAAAGGATATTTTCCTTCCTCATATTCGCAGAAAAATAATATTATTGGAAAATGATTAAATGTACCGCGTTGCTTGATCTAGGCATGACACACCACCAAAGCGCGCTCAACTCGTCGCGCGTCATTCATTTTCAACGCTCCTTCACCCCTAGTACGCCCGTTGGTGGACACAGCGCGCGTTCTTGTTCAACACATAGTATCTTACGCTTCATACGTTCTGGTAGAATTTTTGTGATATGGCAACATAGCTATCCGTATTTGATATTATTTAGCGTATCTTTCGGATTCATTTATAACAATATGAGTAAAGTGTGTTGATAAGTGAAGTCTAAAAACGTCACGTGCTTTGAGATACTTCTAATGAAGACATATGGAAGTGATGTAAATAAATGACGCGCATTATCTTATCCATCGGTTACATACCAGTAAGATCCTGGAATGGAGCAGGGGCAACCTGCGAATAGGAAGGATGGGTCTGACTGAACCAACAAACGGACTGTAGGCTCTGGTGTGTGGAAGACGAAACGGCTGAACACATACTATGTTCCTGCCCTTACTCAGAAAGACTAATTTTTGATATATTTGGGCGTACGAATTTAGAACCTACCTCGGAACCTACCGATTTCAGACAAATCTTACCGCATTCAACCATGAATTTTTCAAAAAGAAGTGGATTGTACAGTGAACTGTAACCTCTAGGGTTGAGTGGATGGGCGGTATTCACCCCACTCACATGAAACCTAACCTAACCTATGTTTGCAATTTAAAATCAAAACATAATTAAATTGACACATATTGGGTTACTTCAAAATGTTTCTATAGCAACAAAAAAGATTTCACATTGACAATTTAACTCATATATAAAAAATTCCACAAGCCGCCGTGATTTTGTCATTATGACTGCGAAAAAAATTGCCCTTATTTTTCCAGTGACAAAACAGAACCTAACTTTCGGAATCATGACAACCAGAATTGTGAACGTATCTTTGATGGTTTTTATGTCAATATTTCCCAATCTTGCGTTGTCACAATAGCATCTTATGGAAATAGCGCGATTTGGAGTGAATGAATTGAAAAATCCATCAACAATAATGTGATTCAGCGACTCAATAGATTGTCTTACCAAATTACACTAGAGCATTTTCTGGGTCGACATAAACTTGAAATAATTTATGATTTGAGTTTTGTTGCCCTTAGGAAATTTATCTCAAAAAACTGCCAGAAATTTTCCAGGCAACAAAATTCTCATTGAAATGCCAAGTTTATTTCCATGAAAAGAGCTAATGTGTAATAAGTCATTCTTTTCTGATTTCATTATAATGTAATATCTGCTCAATACTGAATCATTATTTTGTCTGTCACAGAAAAAATAGTGTATACACGGAAAAATATTAGACTTAAGCTCATTATTCTCAATAACTAATGAGAGAAAGACTTCCACCATAGAGGTACACTCTCGGGTACACTGAAACATACTCAATACCAATACATAGGTACATAAAGGTCATTCAAACTTAAAGAAAGAAGTAGAAGAACCTAACCAAATCTAGCGTTTACTGCGATAACTGCGAATATTTGAATTTGAGGATAATCTTCAGATTATTGAATTTTGTTATCTGTACTGAAGTATTAATAAACTAAGTTCTGATTTTGTTAAAAGTTTGTGAATTGGGCATCAAAAACAAAATTGGATAGGGAATTGTAATAATCTCACAACAATGCAGGACATGCCGTTTTTATGGAGTAAATTTCAGATCAACTGTATCCAACCAGTTTTCTACTTTCGATGCTAGTAGGAACGACCAGAGAAACATCTGATGAATTCTCATAGTAATTTTCTCAAATAGTTACCAAACATATACCTGCTTTCATATCATATTCATATCTCGTCGATGCATGCGATAATTGCCAAACAAACATCGAGAGCTATCAAGTTGAATTCATTCATGTGTGATTCAACAAAACATTATTACCATGAGAAGCAAGTTGTTTTCCCATCAAAAGAGTCAAAAAGACCATCATAAGATTAGCATGGTGTATTCTAGATTGCACCAAGATGTCCGTTCTCAGGAATGAATGTGAGCCAAGCGAAAAATAATATGAACCCAAGTTGCAGTCATCAACTCACTTTCAATCAGAAACGGAATCTCCAGCTTCTAGAAATATTAGTATCAATTAAAATGTAGTCAGGCATATCGTTCATCACTCGATAAATTCGACGTCATATCAAAATTTCATTGTTAACTGAGATATGCCTAATTTTTTTCAAGTAATTCAGAACTTGAATGCCCGATATTTCATCTTAGGTCTAAATCGATTAAGTAAATCGATTTAATATTTTTTATTTATTCAGAAGCGCTTTTTCATGATACATGATGAAATACTTTGTGTGGAGACCAACATCACATTTTGAGCACCTCGTGGTAGTTTTTTGATGACACAAGAAGAGTCACAAGACACATCGAGTTTGGTTGACTTCTGGAATTTTTTGATGACACAAGAAGAGTCACAAGACACATCGAGTTTGGTTGACTTCTGGAATCACAAAATGATTGTCGGTCTCGTCATTATCTTCTCTTTCCACCAATTAAATAATAACTCACCGAGCAAAACATCCACCGTTGTCATCCATTTTTTGAAGAAAGCGCACTTCAAACCTGCTGTTGAGCACAATAATTATTCAAGCAAGCCTGTGAATATTTTTGACAATCATTTTATGTGGAATGAATGCGTAGTCTACATATAGAAAAGATGGCGCTAGTAGTGAAAAAAATAGAGCCAGCATAGGTGTACTACATATAGGACATACATATCTTAATGACAATCGGTAATATCCTTTGATGTGCCGATATCATAATAAGTGAAATTCTTATATTAAACTATCGGATTATGAGATATTCTGTGCTTAATTGTCAATATTTCTTGTAAGATCTCTAATAATCACTGTTTACCATCGTCTAAATATTCTCATTGTTGAGAATAAGTTTTTTTTAATAAATAAGAAAATCACTGTTCATAAATCTAACAGGAATCAACTAATTTTCATGGCTAATACCACAGACTATTGAAATATATCTGTCAAATCCAATATTCAATATTATTGAAAAGAAGTTGTTCACCGTTAGATATTATAACACTGATTTTACTATTTTTCCAAAAAAATTCTTGTGTGTGACAGAAATAGTGAGAGAATATCGCATCGTTGGTGGTATGGTTGCATTGGATTGGTCACACTTCCTCCCGCTTTATTTACGCTATGAAATATCTTTGATTTCAAAAATTATTTAAATAATGTATTGTACTAGAAAACTATTTATGATGATTACCTAGTTTTGGGTTAGTACCATGGTTTAATGAAATCAAATTTTCCACTGAAACAGGCTCATTGTGGATTGTGGTAAAGAATTGACAAAGGATTATTGATTACCATAGTCATTCTCACCTGTGATAAATTCAAATGATTCTGACTTCCAGTTTGAAGTATGGAATTTGCAAAATCATGCAATCAACTTTTTCACTGAAACAGGCTGATTGTAGTAATGCATTGACAAAGGAATTGTTGACTTTTTTCATGTTCTGGTTCCCAGGAAAAGGGATATCGTGTAATGTTCAGAGATACTACCATATTCATTCTCACTTGTGATGAATTTAACTTATTCTGACTCCCAAATTGAATTGTGGAATTCGCTTACTGAAAAGTGAATAGCTTATAATATTTTATTTTTGTTATTCTTTTTCAAATCTCATAGATGTGCTTGGTTAATCATAGCTGTTATGTTTGGTGTTCATTCTATCGATTCCTATTTCATTATACATTCATTCTGGATGTGTTTTATTATTAAATCCTGATATCAGGTTTTTCTTATATGTTGGTGAGACTGATGATGTATTGTATCTCCTTACTGCATCGAAAGTAAGCGTTTGCTCCTTCATTTAAGGACACAATTCACTCCCACGGGAGGAAATAAAATATTGCCTCTCGTGGGAGGTGAAATGAACTGGCTTTAGCTTGCTCCCTTGGTAGAGATATACAGTATGATGCAAATGTATGGAATAAATTCATTATTTCAGAAATGGGCGACATTTGAAGAAATTCCAAGAACACGTGAGTTTCAATTTTTGAAACCTCATCTCATGACATTCATATGAGAGATGTTACGTCACCGGTGTTGGAGTAATGACGTAATGGACGGTTTTTTAAATACAAACAGGGGTCATGTGACACCTCGTTTGAAAGGTCTACTGATCGTCTATCCAATAGTCAAAATTTTGCAAAAGAAGATTGAAATTAAAATGGATTATCATTTGGTTAACTGAATCTTCTACTGAGAATTGAACATCGAAGGGTCGTCTAGTTGAAAAAATACATCGATAAAAAAGTTCTGAACTCTACTTTTTGGATTTTTTTCGGAAGTCGTCTCGTTTGAAATGAATTTATTCCATACATTTGCATCATACTGTATGTATAAGATCTGTGCTACCCAAGTACCTAATGTGACAGAACTGACAAGACAGATGCGTCAAAACTGTCAAACTGATTTTCATTCAATTCAGATACTGTCAATTGTAACCTCAGATTATGTAACACATTGAATTGGATCGAGACTCGAGAGATCGACTGCTTGAAGCACAATTTTAAGAACGACGCTCTTAAATATATGCGTTTGTGGATAAAGTCATATATATATATTGGGAGCAAAGCTGCATTTTCCTTCCATGCACTACACGTTGGGCATGAAACTCCACACGCGGGAAGAAATGGATACCTTTGCTCCCTTGATATATAAATAGCTATTATAGAACCTAAGCTAGAATTATGTATGCATTTATAACATTAATTATTGTCATTGAACAAGTATCAGTATTGCCAGATCAAAAATGTTGTTTATTTTTGAAATATTTCAGAAATATGGTCATTTCATATAAACTTTCATCTATCTGCAGACATCCAGTAGCTCAAAGCACCGACTGCATAAGAGGAAAAGTTGGCTTCACGAAAGGCATGCATTGTTGGGAAGTATGCTGGTCAACAAGGCAACGGGGTACCCATGCTGTTGTTGGTGTAGCAACTGCAGAAGCACCTTTGCATTCTGTTGGCTACCAGAGTTTAGTTGGGAGTACAGATACGTCATGGGGATGGGATCTAGGTATGTAGTTTTTTATTTTCGATTTTCATTTCCCAAAAAATATATAATTGGCTGTTGTCAGGAAAAGAAATAGAAGTACAAGAATTTATTTTGGTAATCTTGCAATTTAAATGTTATTCTCCAGAGAGAGATTTACCTTGCATTCATTCATACATTATGGCATGTTCATATATTGTGATAATCCGTTCGAGTATGAACGAAAAAATGTGATAGTAATACCCAATGACACATGTATTTGTTCAGAAGAAAAGATACATATAATTGGTCACTTGAGCATGGGCACGGAAATGAGCCGTAGGCGAATGCTGCAATCATACGAGTGGGGAATTAGCATTCCGTGCGAGTTATTCACTGTACTTTTTTTACGGCTACAGCAGATAACAGGGAACTTGGGAACTTTTTTATTTCTTCGACTCGTAGCCATCTGATTTTAGCTCAACTTATGCTCATCTATTAGACAGAGCTGTCATTGCTTGAAATTATAAATTCCATGGGAGATGAGATTTTGTGAAATAATAATAAAATCATTGTCATATCAGAGGAAATTAAATTAATGGCATACAAAGTGCCTCATGATTTATGGAACACATTGAAACAAGAGAAATTTTGTGTTAAAACCATGAAAAACACAATTCTGATCGTGTTTGTTAGAATTATTGATAATCAACACTGCTGCCGACTGATGAGGAGCTCTTTCCAATGCCTTGGACAGTGTAGATCATAACATACTTTTGAAAAAATTCAAATGCAATGGCGTATAGGGAATTTCCTCACAATTAATGCAATACAGGCTTTGAAACAATTAGATGAATGTTATTTTGCTGATGGGCTTTTGTGAATGTAGAAAAGACACAGTTGATGCAGTGGGGTAGAATGAAAACGAATAACCCAAAAATCGAACTGGAATATAACAACACTAAACTAAACACTGAATCAAGTGTGTCTTTTCTGGGTTTGATAATAGACTGTAGATTGGACTGGAAGGATCACATAGACAAAATTTCAAAATCAATGGCACAATATAGCTATAACTAAGAATATTGGGCCTAAAATTGAGCCTTAATGTAGATCATAAAACAGCTTTACTTGCATATCATGCTTATGTTCAATCAAAATTCAACTATGACATTCTATTGAGGGAAGACTCAACTTATGTGAAACACATAGTGTTGGTGCAAAAAAGGTGCCTGAGATATATTTTCAAACTAAAATATAGAGAAAGTTGCAAACCAGTATTTATTCTAAATAAAATGTTAACAATAAAGTGTCCCATGAGTCATGGATCAGAAGAAGTGGGGTGGTAGAGGAGGTCATTTGCAATCAAAGGAATAGTACCTATATGTGGTTATCATATTGTTGATTGTTCAAAAGGTATCAAATTATTTAAAAAAACGAGATTCATTTGAAAAATAATAGTAACAAAAAGGGTGTTTTGAATAACCCATATGTTATTCCATTTCGGAATGCCAGTGGCATTTAAAAATCAACTCAAATATTTCATTGAATGACAAAACTCAAGGAAAACAACATTTTTCTCAGGTTATTGATAAGAAGTAACACATGTTATGAAATTATTTCTGGGGAAAGATGCATCCATGTGGATATAATTTGTAGAAGAATAAATCATAAAAGTGATATAATTTCATTGCAATTAGTTTTTTTTTAAAGGAATGGAGAAAAATTAATAACTTTTTTCGTCGACCTCGTATTAACAACTAAGTTTAATGTATATGAAATCGTTCATTAATGACCCCTATTAATGAACGATTTGTCTATTAATGCACGATTGTATTATAGGCAACCAAACATACACCGCGTGCATTCATTGTTTATGCTATACTTACGGAATCTGCATTTAAATCAAAAATATGGATTTTATTGAAGATTTTTCGTTGACGGGTTCGCCTTTTCAAGTTTCTGACACGATTTTAATCCCTGTTTTCTAACACAAGGAATTTTTTTTCTATGTTGATCATTTCGACGAATGTCAAATGTCACTAATATAACAACAACAAGGCTACTGGGCGATTCTCAGCAGTTTCTGGATGAATGATGAATTCGCCAACCAAATTTTCTTCATTGCAGGAGAAATGAGAAATATAGTCGACGGAAAAATTTTGTAACCAACTTGTATATCAAAAGGCGATTAATGATCTTGAACATAAACGCGCTCGCTTCGCTCGCACGTTAAAATATCTCGATCATTAATCTCCCTCATTATTACACTAGTTGGTTAAATAACTATTAAATCATCAACAATTGGATAACCACTACACTAGTTGGTTAAATAACTATTAAACCATCAACAATTGGATAACCACATATATGGTTAGTTTGATTGGAAATGACCTTATCTACCACCCCACTTCTTTCGATCCATGACTCATGAGACACCTTGTATATTTCAAAATTAATAATATTTGTAAAAAATAATTTTGAATTTTTTGGAAACTAAATTCCCAAGCATGAATATGACACAAAAAATGAAGTGGATCTGACACCAGACTCAACTAGGTTTAGTAATATACAGAGAAATGCCCCATGTCATTTTGAACAAGTATGGAATGTCCTACCCTTCAAACATCAGAAATTTGCACGTTATAGATCTGAAAAACAAAATGAAAACTTATCTGATAGATAAAGCCTATTATAAAAGTCAAGACTTCCTCCTGGATTAACATCTTATTTCCTGTACATATGAATTAACCTTGTGATCGACTGTCTACTGTTGCTATGTTTACGCCCAACATGTTATCAAGATATCATCACGTGTGATGTTTTGAAATTTGAACACCTTGAATTCAAACTCGCAACTGTTTTTCTAATCATCTTTTTCACTATTTCTGAAATGTCGTTTGGTCTGCAACATGTTCAGGGTGGCTCATTCCAAATTCGTGAAAGGATTTCACTGGCTTGTGAACATGCTCAATGCTTGCCCCGAGTTGACATTTTCAGAGCTGTGCCTTGGGGACGATAAGATCTTCAGATACATGTGATTTGGTAGAATTAACTAAAATACCTTGATATGAAACAGCATTCATGGAATATTAGAACATGCCTGGAAGTTTCTTGCAGGGAATAACATTCACATTGAAGATGTTTCGGATGTATCTCTGAAAAAAATACTTTTTAAATGATTCAACTCTCACTCAAGTCAACAGTTTTCATCTCTGCTGCTCTGTGCTGGGATTGCACTTGCCTGTGGTTTGCAGTTATGAAAATTGACACATTGTGATAGTATTCCTGTAAAGAAATTCCTTGTATATTATTCCAGTTGTGGTGTTATAGTAATATTCAATGAATATATCCTGACGATCTTGTGGTGTTGCTCGGCAATACAATGTCGTGAACGATGAAGCGACAGAATTATATTGAATATACAGAACATCTTGATATTATTGTTGGAAAGAAATACCCTCGGAAATACCAGTTTTAACCTGTTGTTATTTTTTTCCCAGGTCGTAACAAATTATACCATGATTCCAAAAACTGTCCTGGTGTTACATATCCTGCCCTGCTGAAACCTGATGAAACTTTCATAGTTCCCGACAAATTCTTAGTTGTTCTTGATATGGATGAAGGAACTCTTAGTTTTGTCGTCGATGGTCAGTACTTAGGAGTTGCATTCAGAGGTCTGAAAGGCAGAAAGCTGTACCCAATAGTTAGTGCTGTTTGGGGACACTGTGAGATAACCATGAGATATATTGGTGGTCTTGATCGTAAGTATTTTCGTTAAATCAAAAAAATAATTAGAAAATTAATTCAGTATACTACATGGCACTGATTATGTGATACAGCCATGTTCTTTGTTGTTATCATTCATACATCATTTATTTTTATGGTGCATACCCTTTGCCTTTGCTTCAACCAGAACTATTGCAATTTTTAGATTGCAGTTGAATATGGGTTAACCTCAAATATTCTTAAAACATCACTATAAGATGAGCCCCATAACCTAATAACCTATATTTATATGGGCAAAAAAACCAACGAGTGAATTCGATTCAAATGTTTATACACTGTGTCCAAGATAAGGATGTCTATCATGGGGATCTCGGAAACCATAAGAGATACGAATATGGTTGAATTAAAGAAAAGTTGCACATTTTCGAGCCTAATAATATGACGTTTGGAAAATTTCAAAATGCCAGAGTATTGCCGGTGATATGGCTGAAAAACCGAAATATGCCGATTTCTTTTTTACTTTTTTCTGACGTTATTTAAAGATGAATAGAAAAACAAGAGACATTTTCTCATTGCCACTTTTTGAGCTCTACAAAACAGCGTTGAGATATTCTCCATACAACGTTTCGTTTCGGAGAAACCATCATCGACTTTATTTTTTTAAATAGCCCGTAAAAAAAGTATACCCTGTATAAAATAGCATATTTTATTAGGAATACAGGGATGTATTACACATAATGATTCTGCAATATTTGAATCACATTATTATTTCGAACGTTTTGGTGTAGTAGGCGGTGAACTGACGGTGCTGAGAGAATGTCAAAATGATTTTATTGACATATTATTGACACATAGTATTTTTGAACTCTGTTCTTGCTAGAGATTTTTTTTTGTTACAAAATGGAACGTGTTTTTTCACCTGAGGAAAAGTTTGATATGTTGAGATGTTATATCTTATGCCATAGCAACGCCCTGAACGTATGTATTTAAATAACTATCCAGAGAGAAGACAACCCAGTTCAAAAATATTCGGACGATTGGTTCCGAAGCTGAAGCAGTATGGTGCATTTATACAGGGTGTTAACAAATAAGTGTCACAACGGAAAACTGTAGATTCCTAAATACTGTCTGTAGGTTAATCGAGGAGGTGGTACATTCATTTTACTTGGTTCTTTGGGATTTTCTCTCCTCGTTTCTATAAAATAAAAGTATTCGTATTATTTCAATATATTTGTAGAGGGACAAATCAGATAAGTACAAATTCGATATTTTTTCAATATATCTATATTTCTTTCCTTCAAACATTTTTTCAAACAAATTGTCACTGACAAGCTACTGGATTTTTCTTTTAGACTCCCTGATAGAAAAATTTGTTAAACGCAGTGACATTTTGGGGCAAATCATCTGATTTGTCCCTCTACAAATATATTGAAATAATACGAATACTTTTATTTTATAGAAACGAGGAGAGAAAATCCCAAAGAACCAAGTAAAATGAATGTAGATTCCTAATAATAAAATAAACATTTCTTTCCTCTTCGAAATTTTTCTACGGGCTTCCGTTTTCAAGATACAGGGCGTCAAAAAATCAAAAATGTTCAGTTTAATTGAACACACTTTACAACACATAATGAACTCAATAATCTGAAAACCAGCATCTGAGACCAGCATACTCAAGAACCTGACATTTCATTGAACAAATTATTAGGCAGTTCTGAGGTGTTTATTTCCAGTGGATTTTTAGACGACTTTTGGAGATTTTCAGGATTTTGTATGTTCTTATTCATAGAGAGCCATTTTTCGCGGAAACTGTTCACTTTAGGGCATTGAAACAAGAGGACGTTTTTTGTGTGAAAAATATTGGCGCTTCAGAATCCACTTTGAAAATTACAATTTCTCCAGTGGCATAATGTTTGGGGGGTTAAACCCTTACATGGCGTTGAATTCTCCTCCACTGACATGTTCAAGGAGATTGATCAAGAACCCTAAAAGTAGTCATTATTGATGATGAAGTGTGTACGAAGGCTTAACTCCGTAGCTCGAACGGTTCCTGATATAGCAGCAAAAAACAGATTTTTTTGTATTTTTTTGACGCCCTGTATCTTGAAAACGGAAGCCCGGAGAAAAATTTCGAAAGGGAAAAAAATGTTTCTTTTTTCATGAGGAATCTACAGTTTTCCGTTGTGACACTTATTTGTTATCACCTTGTATAACCAGTATTGTCAAGAAATAAGCCCTGTGATGAAGAAAAAGAAAATAATGTAATATTAGCTGTAACTGAAAACCCAGAAATATCTGTTAGAGAAATTGACAATACCATTGGTATAGCGAAATCTACTGCCCATTTCATTTTGAGAAAACAGAAATTTCACCCGTTCAAATTCAGAATCTGTCAGGGTTTCCGACCTGGTGACGAGGAAAGGCGAAGAACATTTTGTGAATGGTACACCAGGGAGTGTCAGGAAGATGAAACATTTCCACATAAGATTATCTGGTCGGACGAGAGTATGGTAACAAATAATGGAATTTTCAACCGAAGAAATACCCATTATTGGTCAAGGGATAATCCCCCAGTACACCGAATGGCTAGACATCAGCACCGTTTTGGTTTTAATATGTGGATTGAGATTTATGTAACAGATTTAATAGGCCCCTTTTTCTACAACAATTCCCTTACTTCGGAGCATTACCGTAACTTATTGGAACGCGATTTGGAAGGTGCTTTGGACAACTTGCAAAGGTTAGAAACTGTTGGTTTCAGCAGGATGGTGCGCCCGCGCACAATGCCCTCGTCGTACGCGAATATCTATCGAACAGATTTCCGGGAAAATAGATAGGTACACATTCAACAGTTCCTTGGCCCCCTCATTCGCCGGACATCACTCCGCTCGATTTTTTTCTCTGGGGGTATTGCCAAAAAAATGTTCACCGCCGTGTTTTTTAATCTGAGGATCAGCTTAGGAGACTAGTTCTTGAGGCGTTCGAGAGCATTACACCTGATATGTTGAGAAGTGTTTTGAATTCGTCAGTTAGAAGATGTTATCTGTGTTTGGAGAATAATGGTAATTTGTTTGAACATTGTCTATAATTGTTATTAGTTTTTTGAATTTCTATTAAGTAGTTCTTAACTAATTTGTTTAATTAATTAACATATGATGTGATGTATGTATAAAGTTTTTAAAATTTCTATAACGTGATTTTAATTCAATATTTCGAAACACGGATAATAATAGCCTACTACACCATATACTGCGCGTTCATTCCACCGACTACTACACCAAAACGTTCGAAATAATAATAAAAGCCATTTTTTCCGATTCAAAAATTGCAGAATCATTATGTGTCATACATCATTGTATTCGTAATAGAATATGCTATTCAATACAGGGTGTAATTTTTTACGGGTCATATAAAAAAATAAAGAAATGATATTCTATCATATTGACATAAACTATATTCATTTCAGGTAAGTAGGTTAATCGATCATATTCTATTCATCTTCATATTATTCACTTGTTCAAGTAAATTGACTCATTTCTTGGCTTGGAGTATCTGAAATCAACTGTCATTAGCTTCTCAGAAAGTAATTATAAATTACTTATTTCACCTTTAGTGATTGAGACTTTAGTTGGTACTTGTAGAGGGTAGGACATCAGTGACTTCATGACTTTCATTGACTTTTTCATTCATTTATTGGTCTGGGTAGTCACCTACCTCCTGTTCACGGCATATCATTGGGATTCCTAGAACTCGGAAAATAAATTCAAGTATCATTTCTGCTGACAGATTTCCAACTTTTCTGTTTTCTTTTTTGTGTGTTTTTCTAGGTACTCGGAAATAGGTAGGTATACCTACTTTTAGTTCATTTGAATAATACTATGTCCCTCAGAAAAATTTTTACTTTGAAACTGAAGAACTTTCTTCTAATCAATAACATGAGATATATCACAGACATGATGGACATGAGGAGCAATCAAGGATAATAATCTAAAAAATCACCAAGACAATCATCCTTATTAATATCAGTCCTCATCACTAAATAACAGCTATATCAAATCAACTTGAGTCTTAGATGATTATTGAGGTTTTTTCCCAAGTTGTTTTCTCGGCATACATTTGTAGTGATTACTTATTTCTTCACTTCACTGCCTTGCTGGTTCTTAAGGAAAATATAAATAAAATAAATAACAAAAAATTCCAAACAACGTGTGTCGATTTCCGTCGATGCCTCAAGTCAGGATTCAAGAATTCGTGATCTTGAAACACAGAATCACAGAAATCATTATGAACTTTGGAACTCACCTTGATAAAAACCCAAGTTGTAACATTTTCAATTTACAATTGTATCAAATACTGAACGAACAATGAAAACAACAGGACAATGCACTTTCAATCCAAAATGGCGAATAGTTTTGTATTATCCTTGTCTTTAATTAACAACATAAGTTTTACGCGGTAATAGTGCCTGAAAAATACATTCTGGAATATTAAATGAAATGGAACAATAACAGCTTTTTCCAATTTCTGTTCGAACTTTTGTTGAAGTTGAACGTGAAACATATCTTTTACTTATCCGATTGAAAGTAGAGACACATAGTTCATTATAAAGACATAACACTAGAGACAAAACATGGTAGTGGCAAGAAAAACGTTTCAGTATCGTTGTATACTGGGACTTTCGAATTGCTCATGGAATGTTCGTCATTGTTACGTGTTTATGAAAAGTAACCATTGTTTCTTCAAAAATAAATTAAAAGTAGAAAAACATTTTAATAGAAAGCTTTTATTTGAACGATCTAAAAAGAATAAAATGAAATGTTCTTTATAATTTTAACTATCAACTTATAACCTCATTATACAAATTTTATATGATCATGAAAGCTTGTCGCGCGATTTACTTGTGTGAATAAACTAGTACTAATTCAATTTTGTGAAATCTGCTGAGTTTAAATTTTTGAAATTTCAATTTAATTGAATATTGATCATCGGATGGAATACTGCTAGCTCGGAAATGTTCCAAGACAGTTTTGTTGTC